CCCTGGGCCCTGCCCTTCACCCCCGCCCTGAGCCCTGCCGGCCCGGCCCCTGCTCCCTCCCTCGGACCCAGGACCTGGCTTGAACACCGCGTCCAGTCCTGCGGAGCCCCCAGGGGGTGTCGGGGGCCTGGCTAGTCTGAACGGCGGCCTGAGCGCTTTCGTTCCCTTCTCTTGCCCTTTGCGGTGGGTGATCGCCTGGGGTAGGGGACCAGGAGAGGACTGTCATTTTCCCCGGTTCACGTAGCTTTACGGAGACTTGTGCTCCTTGTCTGTCTGGCCTGGTAGCCTCTTTGTAAACCACCAATTGAGAAATAATTGTGTTCGTTTAGTGCAGCTCTGCTATTTCTGCCTGCCGCTTGTGATGGCGCGAGGACCGGCTCCTGGGTTGGTTTTGGCGCCTCTTTCCGAGCAATAGCCCCCTGGGATGAGAGGGCTGTTCTCGGAGGGAGCTGCTGTGGGTGCCTCTGCCTGCCGCCTGTGCAGCGGTGGCCTTGAGTCATCCCTGGTGATCTCAGCTGGTGAGAAAGCCCGAACATAAGGCCAGACGTTCTGCAGTCCGACAAATGGCTTCATGAACTGGGAAAACGGTCCTCACTGGGTTCAGCTTACACTCAGTTGCAGAAAGCGTTCCATTGGACCATCCCGGTTTCAAGGGTTAAAATAGGAGTTCTTGGGTCATCTTTCAAGATAAATAACAGTTAAGGTGTTTTTTAAAAGATGTTTTTATTGATTTCAGAGGGAGGAAGGAGAGGGAGAGAGAAACATCAGTGATGAGAATCATCTAACGGTTGTCTCCTGCACACCCTCCACTGGGGATTGAGCCTGCAGCCCAGACATGTGCCCTGACCAGAATCTAACTGGGACCCCCTGGTTAATAGGAAGATGCTCAGCCACTGAGCCACACCAGCCAGGCCATAGTTAAGGTTTTAAAAGCGAGGAGGTGTTTATGCTAAATAGCATTTCAGGTTGGCCCGTGTGATTCAGTGGTTAGAGCGTTGGTTTGCACACCCCAGGGTTGTGGGTTTGATTCCTGGTCAAGGGCATGTACCTGGGTTGCAGGTTCAATCCTCAGCCCTAGTCTGGGTGGATGTCGGAGGCAACCAATCAATTTGCCTCTCACATCGATGTTTCTCTCTCTCTCCCTTCCACTGCCTCTAAAAATCAATGGGGAAAATCTCCAGTGAGAATTAACAAAAAAACAACAATACCTTAGCATTTCAGAGAAATTGGGATTCTCACATCCCAAACCAGTTGCCAGTGGGAGGTTCCTTTTAAATTGAAGCTAAGTAATTTACTTTTCACGTATTTTCCCTTTAGTGGTTGTGCAAATGTTCACTCCACTTTATTTGACACAGTGAGAATTCAGAGCAGGCTCCCCCCAGTTCTGACTTCTGTTGCCCATGTTCTGTTGACCAGATGTGAGGGCAGGCACAGTTGTGTGGGGACCTGTGTCGGCAGGTGTGCGGGTCAGCCCTGCACACCACCTCACACAGGGCTCTCCTGTGGCTGCCATGAGACAAGAGTCTGCAGAGGACTTTGTAAATTCAAACCCACCAGCACATCTCTCCAAGAGTGTCTTAGCCCGTTTCTGCCTTTCCCACTGTGATGACAACATTCTACCGGAAGCATTCAGTCTGGGGGCCGGTCCTGGGCAGGACTGTGCTTTGGTGTGTTTGCCCTCAAGATCTGCTCATTTCTGGGGAAAATCACACGCGGCACAGAGAACTCCAGGGCAGAAAGGAGTATTGGGTGAATTCTGGTTTGTTTCCATCAATTACAGAAAACAGATCTCTATTTCTTAACTGATCTGGCCTGGAGTGGACTCTGAGGAACATTAGAGTCATGGACTTCCAGGCTTAGGTTTGGTTGTGTGAGACTCAGGGTTCCCCTCACTGAGTAACTTAAGATTAAAGATGAAATTTGGACGGAGATTCTTCTGGTCTTGTTTTTACCTGCACCTCAACATGAAGCTCCATGACACTGTTAACGGAGAGCTGGTCTGAGCAGTCAGTCACGTGCCTGCAGCAGTGAGGGACAGAGAGGTGGAGGTGTGAAGCGTCCAGCAGCAGAGCGGGTGTGTGGCACTGCTAGTCACACTGCTCACACTGACAGCCCTCAGGCGTTCTCCAAAGGCTGTGTGTTGCCATGTGAGTTAGAGGGGCAGCTCACAGGTTCCACTCACAGGCGAGAGAAGGCCATCTTCAGAGAGGCCACACATTTTCAGGTGGAGATGACCTGAAATCCAGGTCCGACCCGAGGTGGTGGACACAGAACCTGTGGGGATCACTAATGTCCAAAACTGTGCGTGGCCCCCACCTCATGCCTCCAGCTTGAATCTTTTTATCATTTTGATTTTCCTGGTCATGAAGTCAGTGGGCCACCAGTGGAGGTTGAACTTTGCCAAAGCTAGGAGGGCTACAGAGAAATAAATGGCTGGCCCTGGCCGGTGTCGCTCAGTTGGTTGAGCATCACCCTGTGCACCAGAAGGCAGCCTGCACAGTTCCCCGTCTAGGCACGTGCCTGGGTTGCAGGCTCGATCCCCAGCAGGTGGTATGTAGGAAGCAGCCAATAGATGTATCGCTCACATCGATGTTTCTCCCTCTCCCTTCTCTTTCTAAAAATTAATTTAAAAAAACGTAAAAAAAGAAAAAGGGTGGGTGAGATGGAGGGGGCCAATGGGATAAAGGGGACACCTGTAATACCTTTCAACAATAAAGATTAAAAAAATAAAGCAAAGAAATGCCTTTCTAGTTGAGGTATTGGACTGTTGTTCCCCAGCAGTGTCCTTGTGAGGTGTGGTGACTGGTCTGCCCTACTGTGGCCATGCTGTCACCTTGATCCCTCATCTCATGATGGCCCCGAAGAGAACCTACCTAGAGACCCTCTTGCAAACCAGCCTCTTCACATGTCAGGGCCACCGTTCTGCGGCCCCCACAGGCTGGGAGCCTCCCTGCACCAGGTGGGGCAGGTGGGGAGAGAACTCGGGTTCCCTGTCTCTGAAGGCTGTCAGCCCAAGTGTGGTGTGTCGGTCTTTAGTGAGCAATTCAGGACTCCATATAAATTACCCAGTCGTGATGGTACATGGTGGTTAAGCAAAGTGCAAGCCCATATTGCTTCTGATAATTCAGTGGTTCTCAACCTGTGGGTCGCGACCCCTTTGGGGATCGAACGACCCTTTCACAGGGGTTGCCAAGACCATCCTGCATATCAGATATTTACATGACGATTCATAACAGTAGCAATATTACAGTTACGAAGTAGCAACGAAAATAATTCTATGGTTGGGTCACAGCATGAGGAACTGTATTTAAAGGGCCAGAAGGTGGAGAACCGCTGTGATAATGGCATTGCCTTGGCCAGGCCGTCTAGCTGTTCTTGGTCTTTCTTAGAGTGGAGACAGCTCTGGAAGTGGCCCCTCTGCCTGCGGAGCAGGGGTCTCACCCGTCGCTCCTGAGCAGCTTAGTGGAATTTCTCGGAAGTTCTGCTTTATAATGTTTTGCACTGACAGTGGATTTTTCGTGAAGTGACCTATTTGTCAGTTTTAAAAGTTTGTTTTTCTTCTTCGCAGCATCATGGCCAGCCCCAGGACCAGGAAGGTGCTCAAGGAAGTCAGGGTGCAGGAGGACAACAACGTGAGCCTGTGTTTCTGTGGTGCTGTGGTTCGGGCTCCTGGCTTCTCGGAAGTGGCTGCAGCCTCAGAGCTCCCCTCCCTGTCTGTCGGCTTCCCAGTCAGCCTCTCCTCTGCTCCCTCTTGCGGCCACCCATTGGGTCTTTGGGGTCCCTGGGCTCTGGGGTCGCCCTGAGCCACCTGGGCGAGTCGCACCTGACCCTCTCCACAGGTGTGTTTTGAGTGTGGTGCGTTCAACCCTCAGTGGGTGAGTGTGACCTACGGAATCTGGATCTGCCTGGAGTGCTCAGGGAAGCACCGCGGGCTCGGCGTGCACCTCAGGTCAGTGCCTGCTCCCGCTGCAGCGCGGCTCCCAGAGGGTGCAGCACCTCTCAGGAGCTCCGCGTGCCCTCGGAGCCTGTGGCTGCGCTTCTGTCACAGGAAGCACACGTGTCTAATCCACAGTTTGGGGGCTCTTCAATGCCAAGCACTTGATAACTAGTTCGATCCTCGGCCTGTAGCTTCGTGCGCTCTGTCACTATGGACAAGTGGAAGGACATTGAGCTTGAGAAGATGAAAGCTGGTGGGAATGCTAAGTTCAGACAGTTCCTGGCGTCGCAAGAGGACTATGACCCCTGCTGGTCCCTGCAGGACAAGTACAACAGCAAAGCGGCCGCCCTCTTCAGGGACAAGGTGAGGCCACGAGCGGGCCCAGGCTGCTCCCATTGGGACTTTAGTGACTCCAGTCCACATACAGAAGGGCATGTGGCCCTGTCTGGTCGGCGCCCTTCCCTTCCCCCCTCCCCCCAGGGAGGCAGGTGGCCTGTGGTTAGTAGGGGTGAAGGATGAGCCTTCCTCACCACCCCTGGGAAACTGGCATCCACACACCTCTGTCCATCTTGATTAAGATACTCCTGAGAGCAGTGGAGCCTGTGGGGGACAGAGAGGTGACCAAGAACTCACCCACACCATTGCAGAGGGAGACCTGGTCTCAGTGTTCACGTAAGGCAGAGACCCTTGCCCATGGCCACTGAGCCCGGGAGGGCTGCATGGGGGGCACAGTAGAGTCCACTGGAGCCAGCACCACCTAGGGTGGCCCTGACAGGCCTGTACTCTAACCCCCTGTTCCCTCGGCAGGTGGCAGCTCTGGCTGAAGGCAGAGAATGGTCTTTGGAGTCATCGCCTGCACAGAACTGGACCCCGCCGCAGTCCAAGACGCTGCCATCCACTGCCTACCGGTAGCTGCTCCTCTGGCCGCTGCTCTCGGCTATCCCTGACCTTAGCTCAGGGTCCTTGTGCTGTCCTGGTAACAGCTACCGTGTGCATTCTTCCCAAAAGCAGTGGGGAAAACAACCTTTTAGATTGTAAAACAATATAAGCTTTTTTTGTCAACCAGGGGAGATGTGTCTGGAAGAAAACCTGCCCTCTCTACACTGCTCAGGCACCAGCCCAGTGCAGATCCTTCTAGAACAGGGGTCCTCAAACTTTTTAAACGGGGCCAGTTCACTGTCCCTCAGACCGTTGGAGGGCCGGACTATAGTTTTAAAAAAAACTATGAACAAACCTATGCACACACTGCACATATCTTATTTTGAAGTAAAGGGGCCAGTTCACTGTCCCTCAGACCGTTGGAGGGCCGGACTATAGTTTTAAAAAAAACTATGAACAAATTCCTATGCACACTGCACATATCTTATTTTGAAGTAAAAAAACAAAACGGGAACAAATACAATATTTGTATTTGCATGTGCCCCCCGGGCCGTAGTTTGAGGATCCCTGTTCTAGAATGTGCCCATGACATGCATGCAGTTCTGTAGGACATGTGTCTCCTGTCCTTTGTGAGGGTCACCCACCCCCCCAGACTGTAGGCACACTGTGGGTGAGCTGGCCTCATGGTGCTCATCTTGCATCTCAGACATCAGAGGCTGGTGTTCGGTGTGACTGGTCTCAGAAGGCTCCCCACTCACCCCGGGGGTGCCAGGGTCCTCCCCACCTGTTGCCCCTATTGTTAGGCCCTGTCCATAAGGCTGCACCGTCTCCCCTGCTTCTTGTCGGCTTCATGAGCTACCTTCCGGATAGAGCTGGAGTCCAGCTCGGCCTCGCTGTGCTGTTCTTAGAGGCGCCCAGGTGTGACCAGGTGGTCCTGACAGTACCTCCCAAAGGCCTCTGTGGTGGCCAGCAGGCATCTGCTGCCCTCTGGTGGCCGCACCAACCGTCAGCTCCATTTCAGGGCCTCTGGCCAGCCGCAGAGCTCGACTGCCTCCTCGGACAAGGCCTTTGAGGACTGGCTGAACGAAGACCTCAGCTCCTACCAAGGGTGAGGCCCAGGGCGCTGGGAGCTGGAGGTCTGGTCGCTCAGGCGAGGACTGCCAGCCCCGCTCGGAATGGGGTCTGGAGCGGGAGGAGTCTAATACTTAGGGGAAGAACACGCTTCTGTCCCGGGCTCTGCCTGGCCTGTTGCGGGTTGTCCTGGAGCCATCAACTTGCAGTGTTGGATGGCTCCTGCTGCCCTGCGTGGTGGCTTGGCCTTGCCATGTGGGCTCCTCAGCCGGACGCAGCAGGAGGGGCTTCAGTGGGCAGTGCGGTGGCTGCTGTTTCCCTGTCAGGGCCCCGGAGAGCCGCTACGTGGGGTTTGGAAACACGGTGCCGCCTGCGAAGAAGGAGGACGACTTCCTCAACAGCGCCATGTCGTCCCTGTACTCGGTGAGTGCGCCCAGCAGGGGGCGCCGGCCCTCCTCCGCCACCATGCCTCGTGTGTCGTTCAGGTCCAGAAATTTTCACTCATTTACTTACTTGGGCAACAAGCATACATTTCAAGTTAGCAAGGAGCATTTCCTCCAAAGAACGAACATTCTGTGTGGATCTGGCACCGCCCGGCCTGGCCCATGTTGGTCCTCATGCTGCTCTGCTGGCCAGTCTGGGAGAGATGAGGTTTGGTGGCAGAGTCTCTAAGCTGCCCGGCTCTAGCACCCTCTGGGGATGGCACCCTCAGCCATGCATGGTCCCTACCTGCTGAGGCTTCCGGTTGAACCAGTGTATTCCAAGGAAGTAGTCACTGTTTTTTTAAAAAATGGGTGTTGCTCCATCAAAGCATTGATGTGATAGGAACACTTGCAGACACCTGAGGGCCATGCTGGGAGGAGAGGGCTCCTCTGCTGGTGGGACAGGCCCTTAGAAGGGCCAAGTGAAGGACGCACAGGCGGACATGGGACCACAAGGCCGCCGGGGCCGTGTGTGCTCAGAGCTGGAGGAAGCTCTCGGGAGCTGCCCCTTCCCGGCCGTTTCTGTAGGATCCTATCTCAGGCGTGGCAGGAGGCTCACTCTGCCACCTCACGCCCCCTTGCCCCGTGCGCACTTACTCCAGAGAGGAATGAGCTGCTCAGTAAGTTATTTAAAACCACCTGTCGCCAGTCTCAGCTGGGTCTCGGGGCAGGAGGCAGGTCTGTAGTGACAACCCACTGGGCAGGAATTTCTTTGGAGAAAGGTGCCCGCCCTCAGGATGTCCTGTTTCGTGTCTTCGTTGTCCCGGCACCCGCAGGGGTTTGTCTCCTTATCTGATGAGGACGTCTTCTGCGCACAAGCCCTCTGCGTTGCTTCGGGAACGAAAGGCTGTGGCGGATTTAAGTCAGATGTTTCTGTTCCTAAATAGTTTCAGTTGGTTTTGGAGGCTTAGGAGGAAACTTGAACTTAGTCAAAAGAGAAGAGGTTGTAGTGCCCCACTCGCCCCAGGACTGGTCTGTCTGCAGTGGGCACCAGGCTCTCCCCTCAGGGCAGGTGGGGGCATCGAGAGCTGTAGGAGGAGCTAAGGCAGGGGCTTGGGCGGGGCCCATGGTGCCACCCTGTGGTCCAGGCCTGGCTCTTCTGTCATTAACATCACCCTGACGGGGCCCCAAAGTGACCTGAGATGGTCAGGCCTCCTCTGGAGGTGGATGGTGCGGTGCGACCTGGGCAGCCGCGTGTGGCCTTGACGTGGCCTCTGCTTCCTTCCAGGGCTGGAGCAGCCTCACCACCGGAGCCAGCAGGTTTGCCTCAGCAGCTAAAGAGGGTGTAAGTGCCATCCCAGCGTCCCCGGGCCCGACCCGCACAGTCTGGCCGGCCTGCAGGGGAGGGAGGAGTCGTGAATGGGAGGGGGGAGGCCCTGAGAGGAGCCCGGCATTGAGGAGCTCCAGCCCCTTCCAGCCCCCGTGGCATGATGCCCTCCCCACCCCCATGGCACCACCACTTGGCCGTGTGGTCCAGCTGGCTCTCGGAGGGCTGTGCCTGGGAGGTCCGAGCACCTTTCAGCGGAATGTGTGGCCAGGCTTTTCTTCCTTTCCTGTTATAATAGTGACTGGGGGACTGGGCATCCAGAGGGGGTGGCAGCAGCTGGGTTGTGGAAAAGCACATAAAGGTGGGGTTGGGGTGGCACCAGTGGGGGCCCCGTGTCCCAGAGAGCAAGTAGGACAGTTGGCCCAGTGACTGCATGGGTGTTCCTGCCCCCCGCCAGCCTCCCTCCAGTGGGGGCTGGTGTGCTGGGCAGCCTGGCTGGGCCCTTGGAGCCACTGCAGGGGAGCACTGGTGCCTAGCGGCATCAGCAGGCCTGGGACAGCGCCTGTGAGCCCAGCAGAAATGCGGCGGCATCATTCAGGACAGTGTCAGCCTTCTGTTTCCTTTCCAGGCTACAAGGTTTGGATCCCAGGCAACTCAGAAGGTAACAGGAAGGCTGCGCCCTGTGTTCGGTTACACCCTCGTCTGTCGGGGTCTGGCACGCCCGGGGGTGCCCTCGGGCCCGCGCTCCAGGCGGGGGCAGTGCTGTGTGCAGCCTGGCCTGTGTGTGGGTGTCTCCCAAGTTCACGTCCGCTGTGCTCCTTCAGGTGCCCGCGGGTTTGGCAGGCAGGGTAAGAGGCTGCACCTGCGTAGGCCTGTGGGGCTGGAAAGTCACCCTGTCCATTCGCAGCCTGGGTGCTGGGCAGCCACGCGGCCACCGGCAGAGCCCTCGCATCAAGAAGGAGCAGGCGGCAGGCGGCTCCACTGGGCGGGAGGAGGCTCAGCGTCACTGAGGCGAGGCTGTGTCTGCGAGCCAGCCTCCTTGGGCCCCTCGGGCTGGCGTCTGTCCCGTGTCCCTGGTCAGTGCCTTCTCTTCCTGTAGGCAGGGGTCTCGGCTGCAGCCTTCTCTTTTTTCAAATCCTGGTTAATGGTCCCTGCAGTCCCCCGGAGGTGCCAGGGCTCTGGGCTGGCCTGTCCTCCCAGGGCTGGGGGTTAGGACTCATGAGGCAGCGGCCATAGGGCTGTCCCAGGCCCCAAGTGAGGGAGGGGTGGCTTCTCCCCCGCTGCTGGGGGCCCCTGCTCTGCTTCTCTGAGCCCCTACTCTTTCAGCCCCTGAACCCCTCACTCACATGGTTCTGGATGGTGGTTAGTGGGAGTGGAAAGCAGGGTTCAGTGACAGTGAAGGGGGCTCCAAAGTCACTCTGGGGCCCCGTCAGGGTGATGTAGTGATGCGACTCGAGGTGCTTTTGGGGGTGCCCATGCTGCTCTACTGCCTTGCTCTCTCCTCTTTCCCCACTCGATCCCTGTGCCGCTGGGTAAAGTTCTGGGGTTCCAGGCAGCAGCCGGAGCTGGTAAGGCGCCGCGTCCGCGTGTCACTCTCAGCACGCCCTCATCTGCGGGGCCTGTGCTGGGTTCCGCTGTCGCCTGCTGTGGCCTGTCCTGTGTCTGCTTACGTGTGCTCACGCTCAGAACTTCTCACTGGCCTGATTGGCTCCTGTTTGGCCCATGCAAGCTGCTTGGGGACCCGCACTTCCTTTGTGACCCAGAATGCAATGGGCACTGATGGCCTGGGATCCACGGGAGCTACTTGGCAAGACTTGCATGGAGTAATTTTCTTGAACCAAACACTCCAAAGGTGTCTTATCCCAGGAGTGAGGTCCTGGCACCCATCCTGAGGCCTTGCTCACAGTCCCTGTCATCCCACTCCTGCCCCCACCTCATCATCTCCCAGCTCTGTCCCCTCCCCTCAGCCAGCTCCTGATGCTCGCTCTCCGTGGCTGCGGGGGCTCACGCTGGGCTGCTGAGGTTGCGCCCCTACACCCTGGGGAGCATGTGAGGTGACCTGCTACTGGCCGGGCTGTCTTCACCAGGCAGGATCCACTGGGCCCTGAGGGGAGACCCTGGAGGCGAAGGCTGGGCAGGGCGGACCCCAGGGCTTGTGCTGTCCCCGGGCCCCTGCCCGTAAGACTGCGTAGCAGGGGGCAGCGGGTCCGGCCTCTGTGTGGTCAGGGTGCTCGGGGCCACTTCTGCGCAGCTGCTGTGAATCCCGTATGCCAGGGGACTGCTTGCTGTCTCTGCCCGCAAAACTGGCAGCCGCTGTGCTGACCCTCGTCCTGGGGTGAACATGGTTCCAGGAGCTCCCTGACTTCCCTCTCATGGCATCTGTCCTCATGCAGGCATCAGAGCTGGGCCACAGTCTGAACGAGAATGTCCTCAAACCTGCCCAGGAGAAGGTAACACCCACTCCGCATGCCATGCTCTTCTGTCTCCCATGGGCCTTGTCCCCAGGGCAGCTGGTGCAGTGGGCAGGCTGTGTGCCTTGTGTCCCCTGATGTGCTCCCCATGTTCTCCCCATGTCCCCATGCACTCCCTGTGTTTCCCTGTGTGCTCCCCATGCTCCTCCTCGTGTCCCCCTCCCAAGGGGCTGGTAGCACAAAGGAGGCCCAGACGCGCAGGAGAAGCTTTCGGTGGCTGGGGGTTTAGGGGCAGTGCCCCGTCCTCAGGAGGTGGTGGGAGATGCTGCAGTGTTAGCCTGGCGTGGGGTTGGGGTCAGCTGCTGTGGGGGGTGCTGTCCTTCGTTAGGAACGGTGCTGGGCTCTGTCTGTCCGCCCCCTCCCCTCCCCCCCACCTCCCCAGTAACGACACTGCTGGTCCACGCAGGTGAAGGAGGGAAAGATTTTTGATGATGTGTCCAGTGGGGTGTCTCAGCTGGCGTCCAAGGTAGGGTGCCCGTCTACACGTGGGCACAGCTGGAGCCGGTCTCCACATTCTGGCCCTGGCACGGGCGCCATAGGGCCGGGCACTCGTGCCCGGGTCACTTCTGCAGCCGGGGCCCTGGCCGCTGCTGCCTGTAAGCCGGCTCCATGCCGGCGAGAGGAATGTGGAGACAGCTTCATGGGCGGCACAGGGGCTAACCTGTCGCTTCTCTTCCTTCTATCCTTTTGCTGCGCTGACCGTCCCCTGGTGAGTGTGGCCCCTCTGGGCATGCTGGGACGCCTGTCTCCACCTCCCCGCGGGGGTGGAGCGTGCGTGTGGGTGCGGCCCCATCTCCTGTGCCTGCAGCGAGTTTCCCTTGCTCCTGAGGGCCCAGCCCTCACTGCCCCCCAGCGGCCTGCCTGCCGGCAGACCCTGTTGGGGCGAACAGTAGTGACAGCAGGGATGGCTCTGTGGCTGCCTTTCGGAGCTTGGCCGGGTCGGGCAGAAGGCCGTCGTGGGCTCCGTGTCTGAGCTGTGTCCCATCCCCTTCCAGGTCCAGGGAGTTGGCAGCAAGGGGTGGCGGGACGTCACCACCTTTTTTTCGGGGAGAGCAGAGGACCCCTCAGACAGGTATGCCGGGTCTCCTGTCCTGAGGTGGCCCCTTCCCTGGGCCTTTTCCTCCAGGGTCTCGGAGGCAGTCAGCACCCTCATGGGTCCAGGGCACTGAGGGCCCCAGTGCAGGAGGTTCAGAGGTGCAGCGGCTGGTTGGTGCCCCTCACCCCTCGCTCCGACGTTCTCCCCTTGACCTGGAGGAACTCCTGCTGCCCAGGGCTGGGGGGAGTCTCACCCCATCCCTGGGGGACGGGCCAAGGCGGGCAAGAGGCCTTCCTGCTAGAGCCCAGTGTGCCGCCCTTCTCTTTCTCTGGCCCTTGGGGGGTTCCTGAGGATCTGGTGAAGAGATGGCCGTGCTGGGCCTGGTGGGCAATGCCAGTCCACCCCATGGGTTGCGTTTCCCAGGCCCCGGAGCAGGAAGCCACTGCTTTCTTGCCCAGGTGCTGTGGTGTTCCATTGGTGTGGCTGTGGGGGGTGGGGGGGCAGCCTTCGGCCTGAGCAGTCGTCTGGACAGTGGAGGCCTCCGCATTTTGGGTTTTCATTCCCGTTCCCTCAAGGCACCCTCTCGGCTCCAGCGGGAGGCCTGTCTGAGCCGCACTGAGCCCAGGCTTCCCTGGGGGTCCCCGTTCTCAGGGGAGGTGCCAAGGGAAGGCCAGGCGCTTGGGAAATTGTTGTTCAGAGTCCCCCTCTTTCCAAGGCCCCTGGAGGACCAGAGCTACCAGAACAGCGGAGGGGACAACTCCCAGAACAGCGCCATCGACCAGAGCTTCTGGGAGGCCTTCGGGAGCACTGACCCCGCCAAGGCCCACAGGTCCCCGAGCAGTGACAGCTGGACGTGCGCTGATGCCTCGGCCGAGAAGCGGAGCTCAGACAGCTGGGACGTTTGGGGCTCGGCCTCCACATCCAACCATAAGAACAGTGACAACAGCGATGGCGGGGAGGCCTGGGGGGGCGGTGGGGAGGGCCGGCCCAAGACCACCAGGAAGGCAGCCCCGAAGGCCGCTCAGGTGGACGAGGGCTGGGACAACCACAACTGGTAGGCGTGCCGTGCCCGGCCCCGACCGCCGGCAGCCACTGTGTCTGCACTTTGCCCTCTTCCAGCACCTTCCACTTGAGCAGAAACCCGGCCGCGGCGTGGAGACAGGGTCTTGGGCGGGACTCTGGGACCCCATGGCTGCAGGGGTTAGAGGCCGGCTGCTGTCCTGCTCCGACCTCCCCATCTCCCCCTCCTGTTCCGGGTGCCATGGCGGGCCGGAGCTGGCTGCTGTGGGAGCCGCCACACGCACTAATAAACCCTCCGGGGCTGCCTGGGGTCGTGAGTGTTGCTCTGGGTCTAACTTCCTGCCTGTGTTCGCTGCAGTTCTCTCTTTTCGGAGAAAATGCCCAAAGTTTTAGAGACAAATACCAAAAGCAGCACCAGCGCTCCTGTTGCTGTCTGCCCCCAACAAGGGCTCTGCCCCAACCCCCACCCCGAGCCCTGTCAGCGCTTGGACTTGGACTGGCCCTCTGAGCCGAGGGGGCCCCGCCCAGGACACCCTAGTGAGCTCCGACACAGGCAGCGGTTCTCAACCTGTGGGTCTCGACCCCTTTGGCGGTTGAATGACCCTTTCACAGGGGTCACCTAAGACCATCCTGCATATCAGATTACATTATGACGATTCATAACAGTAGCAACATTACAGTTATGAAGTAGCAACGAAAATAATTTTATGGTTGGGTCACAACGACCCTTTCACAGGGGTCGCCTAAGACCATCCTGCATATCAGATATTTACATTATGATTCATAACAGTAGCAACATTACAGTTATGAAGTAGCAATGAAAATAATTTTATGGTTGGGGTCACCACAACATGAGGAACTGTATTAAAGGGTTGTGGCATTAGGAAGGTTGAGAACCACTGAATTAGAGTGTGCTCAGGGAGGAAGGCAGGCCTAGTGCCCCGGCCCAGGCCCATCCCCCACAAGGCCAGGAGCAGAATGGGGCCTCGCCTGGGCAACCAGTAACCATTTTGCCTGATGGCCAGGCCTTCCTAGCAGCTGGGAGCCGGGAGGAGTGGGCGCATCTGGCCCATCCCCCCCACTGTCCCTGTGGCATTTGGGGGCACTTGTATCCTTGCACTGTTGACTGGGTCTCCCCCTCCACTTGGAGCTCCTGTCTTTGAGCTGCTGCAGGCTGGCTTGTCCCCAAGGTTGGCACTAGAGCGTTGCCTGTCTGCTCCCCGTTTGCAACAACCTCGCCTGTGCTTGAGGCTTCAGTGCTCTGGGACCATGGGCAAGGTAGGGGTCTGGGGAGGGCCAGCCTTGCCCTTAGCCCACCGCCCCCCCCCCATGTGCCCCAGCCTCCAGCGAATCTCACTTCCTCTAACCTGAGGACCTGTGCTTTCTGTGCCTGCTCCCCCCAAAATACCTCTGCCTGCAAAAGCTGAGCCCAGAGAGGCCTGAGAGCACCCAGAGGTCAGGCCTGCCCATCTCAACTACCTGGGCTGGGGTGGGCACCCCATCTAGGCGCTGATTCCTGGGATCAGGTCTGCCAGTCTGTGGGACCATCGGGGTTGGCTGGGAGGGCATGGCTGAGGCTGCAGACTGCGGAGGGTGCTAGAGAGGCGGCCTGTGCAGATGGGGCTCCCCAGGAGGGTGGGTGTGGGCCTGGGCACTGGGACCACAGCACAGACCCAGGGGCTTGAGGTCCTGACCTGGGAGTGATGCTGGAGGACTGGCGAGGGGGGTTGGCTGGCGTGCCTTTGGGGTCCACGCTGCCAGAGAAACCCAATGCCCATCCCCCCATCTTGGTGTCCAGGGCCATCTGTGGTGGCCTTTGTTCCTGAGCCCCTCTTTGGGGTAGACCCTGTTGAGTGAGGGATAAAGGTGTGGGGTCCCCGCCACACCATGAGATGGGGTCCTTTACCCTGGGACCTCTGCCCCACTTAGAGAAAGGTCCTGGGCAGCCGATGGGAAGGGTGGAGAGCCAGGGGCGGGAGGAGGCTGAGCGCTGGGCGGGGCAGTGACGTTGGAGGAAGGGCCTTCATAAGCCCTGGCCTCCCTGTGGCTGCAAAGGACCTGAGCGGACGGAGCAGGTTGGTGACTGGCCTGAGCCACTGGGCTGGGTGGATGAGCTTCGGTCTGAGGGTGACCTGGACCTTTCAGAGAAGCTGGGAGGAGCTGAGCTCCAGAGGTGGGCGGAGGGCTCTGCCCCTGGAAGGGGTCCAACTGAGGCCAGTTTTCTGGGGAGAGAAGGATCTGCTTCAGATTGCGGGTCAGGAGGGCCCAGGCACCCAGAGCACCCACATAGCCCCCGGTCCCTTCACAGCCTGACGAGCCCAAGAGCTCAGCCACCCCTGCCCTGGGTGAGGCTGGGCGAGGGTGGCCAAGGGCCTGAGTGTCCTCTCTGCACTGTCAGCAGAGGCTCAGAGGCATCTTGGGAGGGAGGGGTGCCCCCAGAGGGCTCCCCCATGACCCCAACCCCACCTCCCCAGGCCTCCCCTCCCCACTGAGAGGCCTGCTCTCCCCAGAGGTTCTGCTCAAACTTGGGTCCTACCCCAGCCGCCTGTTCCTCCCTAGGCCCCTGGCGCTGAGTGGAGTGCAGCCGCGGGTCAGGGCTGAGCCGTCCTGCTGGCCGTGGGCGTCCTGAGGACGGGATGGGGGCCCAGCTGCGGCTGAACCAGCGTCGGGGGCGGGGTGGCTGGCAGAGGGGCAGCTGACCTCTCGCTCAGAAAGCTCTTGTGGGACCTGCAGACGCGGCCACAGTGGGTGGGGCGAGCGGCTGAGGGTGCAGCGTCCAGGGACGTCTGGAGGGGGCACAGTCCCCGCTGTGGATGGAGAAGCTCTAGCTTTGCCATCAGGAGGGGACAGATGGACAGAAGGCTGAGCGGCCTCTCCTTCCCCAGGCTGAGCACCATGGGTGCCCACGTGCACCCCCACTTAGGGTTCTGCCTCTGGCTGTGGCTGGGTGTCACCCTGGGACTTGGCCAGGAACAAGGTAAGGACAAGGGGTGGGGACTTTCTGGGGACTGAGCCCCCGCCTGCTCTGGCCCCCAGTGGTGGCTGTCCAGGTGGAATTGGTGCTCGAGGAGTAGACGGGACAAGACGGCCCAAGGGGTCATCTGTGCTCCTTTGCCAAGTCTAGGCTCCAGCTGGCTGCTTCACCTTTGACCTTGTGACCTTTCACCTTGCCTTGGGGAGGCTTCTGTTTTCTGGTTAATTTTTTAAAAACAGGTATTAATACCCTGCAGTAATTCTCTCATATTAATGTTCTGTTATTAATTATTCCATGAACACCTTCTTACAAACAGTACAACCTGCAGTAAGGTGAGCCCGCACAACACGGGCGTTGCTTCTAGCCCCTCCCTGCTTGTCTAGGCGCGTGGGGTGTTACATTCAGAGCAGCCTCTCCCTCAGCCCTTCACGTGGCCTGGCTCTGACCACATCTTGTAGGGCATTTATTCCATTTCCCTTTAGGGGTAAACGTCCATTGCAGGGTTGTTTGTGTCGCCCCAAAAGGGTCGCACCTTGACTGAGTTTGTCCCAGGAAAGCTGGGTGAGTGGCGCTGGGATGACCTCTGCATCCGGGTACTGAGGCTCTGGAGCCGCTTGGCCCCGAGTGCAGCCCCTGGGGAGTGAGGGCAGGGCCGCCTCCCACTGTCCCAGCTCACCCCGTGGGTCACGGCTGGGACTGCTCTGCTCAGGGTGCGGCTCAGCCAGGCCAAGGGGAGCCGACCTGCTTTATAATTTTGGTGGCAGGACTTCCGTTTGGTTTTGCACCAGGTTGGCGACTGCGCCTGGGGGCCCTCAGTCCGGGGGCTCTGACAGGACCGCACCAGGGGGGGTCGCGTCACTAAGGGCCCCCATGACAATGAGTTCAGGACTCTGCTGGCAGCCCCTCGCCAGGTCCCTGCAGGATTCTGGCAGATGCTGGGGTGGCAGCCCTTCCCTGAGGATGGCCCTGTGGAGGGGGCGCTGTCTGCACAGCATCCTGTGTAGACCCCCAACATCGGGACCCGAGAGGCAGCGTGGGGTGCCTCCCCCAGCATATCAGAGGCACAGGGACACACAGAGGCTCTTCATGAGCCAGAGCTGGGCCCCTGCTCACAAGTGGCTTTTCAAAGCCCCAGACATTCCTGTCTTTCAGCCTGGAGTTGCAGGGAGCAGCGCCCCCCCACCCCCACCGGAGGCAGGCTCAGCTGCTCCTGCTCTGAAGCATCATTGTGTCTGCACGGGTGCCCCCAGCCCCTGCCCTCCTCCCCGCGCACCCAGCTCTCAGGGGGCGGCCAGAAGAAGCCCATCTCTGTCCCCATTTTCCAAAAATAGCTGCTCTCACAGTGGAACTCCCGGAAGCTTGCCCGGGAGGTCAGGATATGCCTGGGCTCAGGCCACCACTGCTCCCTGTCCTCCAAGCTGCACCCTCATGGCACCCTCACATTCCAGGGCGCCCACCCCATGGGGCTGTGTGAACCTCACTGTAACCTCAGCAGCTGGGGGTCTGCAGTAGCCACACAGCTGCCTCTCCCACCGCCCACCCCCACCCAGACTTGGCGGGGAATCCAGGGAGGTGTAGCTGCCTCGTTGGCTCAGTGCCTGCTGTCGCCTGCGGGGCAGTATGGCGTCTCCGGGATGCTAGCCTCAGCCCGGGCAGGGGGACACCCCTCAGAGAGCCAGTGGGGGTGGTCCTGGCACCTTGGACCCTTAGGAGGGCCCGGTCCCCCTCCAGCCCTGGGCTGGGCTTCATTTTCTCAAGGTCCCCACAGTGGGGTCAAGGCCTCCTCACACCAGACAGGTCCCTTGGCCCCCCACAGCTGTTGGGGTGGCTCCTGGGGGTCAGTCCTGACCACCCTGTCTTGTCTCCCCAGCAAATGGCCGCCTGAAGCTAGCTGTGCTGCCCGAGGACCAGCTGCAGATCAAGTGGACGGAGTCGGAGGGGGGTGGCCTTGGCTACCTGGTGCAGGTGAAGCCCATGGCAGGTATGGCCCTGCACCTCCCCACCCGCTGTGAGGATGGAAGGCAGCTGTGCACGGCTGTCACTGTGCCCGACTCTGAGTCTCAGCATCCACGTGGCTGTGTGATTCTGCCCTCCTTGCTGGGGCGGGGCGTGTAGTAGGAGAATCTTACGTTTCCCATGTGACCCAATGCCCGGCACATGCAGAAGGCGCCCAGCCACTGGCTTTTGAAGAAACAGTGGACCCTGCTCAGCTAGAGCCCTTTCAGGATCCTGCATGTTAGTGGCTGGGAGGGCCTCCAGGGGCAGGAGGGAGGCCGAGGGGTCCTGGAGGCCGGCACAGGCTGGCCACAGAGCTCCGCAGACATGGCCGACGGAGAGCCCATGGACAAGAGTGTCATCGCGGGGATGGGCGGAAAGTGATGCGGGGCCTGAGCTCGCCCCTGGGGGAAAGGGGCCGTCCTGGGCCCACAGTCCCACCCCGTCCCACCTGCCCTCTGCTCCCAGGAATCACCCCTTGACTTGGGTGTAGTTTTCTAATATTTTCATGAAGCCAAATTCATCTCCCTCATTTTCCAAATCGTTTATACCTTTCCCAGTTTTAGTGAGAAGTAACTGACATACCTGAGCATATCAGCGCAGCCTACGGGGGGTTGGTTCACATGTGCTGTGAAAGGACTGCAGTAGCTGCCTCTCACAGTGATCCTCTCTCCAAGATACAGCAAAGTGATGGGATGAAAACAGGATTCACTCTCTGAACATCTTCCCTGTGTATCCTAGACCAGCATCAGCCATAGTCAGTTTGGTACATTACAACCCTTGACTGACTTATACCTGGGAGTCTGTACCTGTGGCCTTCCTCCAGTCCCCTCCCGAGCCCTCCACCTCTGGCAGCCACAGTCCCATCTCCTTCTCTATGAGCTTCTAGGTTCCGCATATAAGTGAGATTGTACAATATTTGTCTTAGACCTATTTTTCTTAGCATAATGCTTCCACGGTCCATCCATGTTCTTAAAGTGGTAAGATTTCCTCATTTCTGTGGTTGAGTAATATTCCACGTGTGTCCATCACATTCCCATAGCCATTCGTCCATGGTTGTGAACAGTGTGAGTGACGTCAGCTGTGAGCAGCGCTCACTGGACATGGCGCTGTGCCCGCTGGAGACAGTGATCTAGTTTCCTTCGCATGGACACTCAGATGTGGGATTGATGGGCCTAAAGGCAGTTCCATTTATTTTATTTTATCAATCAGCTTGTTCTGTAGATTCTGTTTATTTTTGCTAATCCCCACCCGAGGATATTTTTCCATTCATTTTTAGAGAGAGAGTAAGGGAGGAGGAGAGACAGAGGAGAGAGAGAAACATCAATATGAGAGAGATACATCGATTGGTTGCCTCCTACACGCGCCCTGACCAGGCTTGGGGATCAAGCTTGCAACCGAGGTACATGCGTATATGCCCTTGCCCGGAATCAAACCCGGGACCCTTCAGTCCACGGGCTGACACTTTATCCATGAGCCAAGCCGGCTTGGGCAAGACAGTTCCATTTTAAGTGTTTTTTTTTGTTGTTGTTTGTTTGTGTTTTTTTTTAAAATAGGTTTTTATTGACTTTTAGAGAAGAAGGGAGAGGAAAAGAGAGATGGAAACATCGATGAGAAGCATCATCCATCGGCTGCCTCATGTCCCTACTGGGGATCGAGTCTGCAACCCGGGCGTGTGCTCTGACCAATCAAACTGTGACCTCCTGGTTCATAGGTTGATGCTCAACCACAGAGTCATACTGGCCGGGCCATTTTTAATTTTTTTATGAACCTCCATACTGTTTTCCACAGTCTGCATTCCCACCAGCAATGCACAAAGCTTCCCTTTTCTCCGCATCCTTGCCAGCACTTGTTTGTTGATGTGTTGATGGTAGCCATCCTGACAGGTGTGAGGTGATAGCTCATTGTCGTTTTAATTTGCATCTCTCTGATGATCAGTGACTTTGAGCATCTTTTCATGTACCTGTATGTACTCTTTGGAGAAATGTTTATTCAGGTTTTTGTCCATTTTTAAATTGGATTATTTGGGTTTTTTGCTATTGATTTGTATGAGTTCTTCATATATTTTGGACACTAGCCCCTTATCAGATATGATTTGCCAATATGTTTCCTGTTCAGTAGAGTGTCTTTACATCTGCTGATGATTCTTTTATATCCTCCCTGGTTTTTAGTCCACTCATCCATAAACCCCCTACTGTGGTCGTAGGTGCGTCTTTCTCTGTTGCCTCACCTTTGTTGCTTTGTATGTTGAGGCTGTTATAGGGGCACCATTTAAATCATGTCTTCCTGGCAGACGGCCCTTCACCACGGAGCTTCCTCCTGCTCGCTGGTGGCGTTCTCACTGAGGTTCTCCCTTCTGTGCCATCGTGTTGGTCCAGGGAGATCTCTTATTCACTTACCTTAGGTGCATCTTCCAAGGAGCGCAGAGCTGGTGTTGCTTTCACACAGTGAGACAGACTTGGCCTTTTAATTGAAACATTTTTTCCAATTTCTATTCCATTGAATGACCTGCAGATTTGGGTTTAAATATTCATCTTCCTACTTTTTTTGTTGTTGTTACACTCATTCCACCTTTGTCCTGTCCTTTCTTCCCACTCTTCATAGCCTTGTTGGGTTTCGTAACTCAGCAGCAGGGGCGCCTGCTGAGCTGAGGCCTGGCGCTGCCCAGCGTGCAGCCCGAGCTGGTGTGGAACTGCAGGCAAAGGCAGTGCTTGCTGAGCTGCTGTGTGAATGCTGCTCGCATGGGATCTGTGCCATGCTCTCCCTGGGAAAGGCGCTCAGCTCCTGTAGGAGTGTGCGGGGAACAGGGAGTGGACTTTGTTCTCATGTCCAAGGCTCAGACTGCATGAAGTCTGCGTCTAGCACGTAGCAGGTGGGGTGCAGCTGGGGGACGGGTCGGGTTGGAGGAAAGAATGACAGACCTCTGGAACAGAGTGAGTGTGAGAACAGCTGGTACTAACACACCAGGACCCCAGAGTCCCCAAGGCCGGGTGTGGTGTGGGCGCCCGAGCAGGGCAGTGTGTGTGCGAATGAGGAGGAGCCTGGACACACATGCACACACACATATACACACATGGGATACCCATGTGGGCACACACATATACACGCACTTTGCTGGCCTCACCAGCTCTTTCCAACCCCATCCCAGGGGACGTGGAGCAGGAGGTGATGCTGACCACCAAGACCCCCAAGGCCACAGTGGGAGGCCTGAGCCCCTCCAAGGGGTACACCTTGCAGATCTTTGAGCTCACCGGCTCAGGGAACGTCCTGCTGGCTCAGAGGGAGTTTGTGAGTAAGTCCACTGTCCCCCACACGGGTTCCCGTTTCTGGGGGTGAGTGTGTGGCAAGGAGGCTGCAGCTGAGCCCTGGCAATGCTTCTGGGCTGGCAGCCTAGGCCTGCGTTTGAGCTCCGCTCCCCATGAGGCCGCCAAGGAGCCTCAATTATAACTCCTGACCCCCCACCTGTCTCCTATAGGACCGGGGTCCCATGGAGCCCGGGATGTGCCCTTGCAGGGAGGGTTGTGTGGACAGGCCCACGGCCCCCCGAGGCCTCTGCTCCCTGGTAGGGTCCTGACAGCCACTTGCATCTCTGCAGTCGAGGATCTGAGGAGTCACTCTGCGAGCAGAAGCAGCTGGAGGCCCCTGGGGGCAGCTCTGGAGCCCACACCTTCCCACATGGGGAGCCCGGACCCTGACCCCCGAGTCATCTTGGCCCCAAGCCAAGACCCGCCCGCTCTGGGTGGGTCCAGGTGGGGTGAGGGTAAGTTTCTGGGAGGAGCGGAGTCCAGCGTCTCATGTTTTCTCTGCACGTGGCCAGAACTTTCTTCCTGATAGTTGACCTCATGCTCTCTAGCCACTCTCTGAGGCTCACTCAAACCCACGGGGCAGGTCATTCCCTGGGGTGTCCTCAGGGCCCCAGTGCCTGGTCCCATCCTCCCGACCCCCCAGGTATCCCCCAGGCTGAGTGTTTTAGGTGAGAAGTGACAGCTGTGACCTCCCCCAGGATTTCCTGGCAAGGATCAACGCTCCCCCAGAGGCCCCGGGGGAAAGGCCCCTGCTCAGCTCAGCCCAGAAAGGCCCAGCCGCCCCAGGACGCCTGTGAGAAACAGAGAGACGCCAGGTAAGACGGCCAGGGCACCAGCGTCCGTGGCTTGCAGGGGCAGGGGCAGTGTGACCTGGAGCAGGTGTGCCGTTTTCTGCACAAGGTCCTGAACGCAGGGCTGTGTCTCCCTCATCAGATGGTCTCACTGCACCTGCCTTCTCAGGAGCCTCCACATGGCCTCTGACCCTGACTCTGGGCTCAGCCTGGAGGTGCTGTCTCTGTGCTAAACTCAGGGGCCCCCAAACCCCAGACAGGGGTCACAAGGCTTTGTCTCCAGAGCTCCTGGGTCCTCAGGACAAGCCCTCAGGCCAGAGGTGAGACCTCAGCCCAGAGCAGGCGGATGGAGCTGTCCGTGGTACTGACCACACCCACTCCAGTCGGTTGACCTGCCTTGGAGCCTCTGGGTGTCAGCTTCTGTGTGTGTGTGCGTGTGTGGTGTATGTGAGTGTGTGTGCGCGAGTGTATGAGTGTGTGTGCGTGAGTGTGAGTGTGTGTGCGTGAGTGTGTGTGCGCGAGTGTATGAGTGTGTGTGCGTGAGTGTGAGTGTGTGTGCGTGAGTGTGTGTGCGCGAGTGTATGAGTGTGTGTGCGTGAGTGTGAGTGTGTGTGCGTGAGCGTGTGTGCGCGAGTGTATGAGTGTGTGTGCGTGCGTGAGTGTGTGTGTGTGTGTGCGTGTGTGCGTGTGGCGGGGGGCTGATCTCGAATAGTAGCCCTCACATAGACAAGCACACAGCGGCCAGCCCTGCCAAGGCTCCTGGAGGGCAGAGCTGCTGGGGCTCCATTAGCCTTCTTTGACGGGCTTGGAGGAGCTGGCCCCATGGCCCAAGGTCCACACAGGGTTTCCTGAGTCTGGTGAGATCCAAGCACCTCTGGAACCTGTCCCCCAAGACTCACCAAGGCTCAGCCGGAGGCCGAAACCCTGTGGCCCCAGCCCCTCCACTGACCCAGAGAAGGAGATCCTGGGTGGCTGGAGCCCAGCTCAGAGCAGCTTGGTGTCCTGCAGTGGCGGTGGGCTTCGCCCACACCTCTCCTTCCTTGCCCACCCAGCTGGCCTCCAGTTCCATTGCATGCCTCCCACACCCACCGACATGATCTTCCTAGTGGACGGGTCTTGGAGTATTGGCCACAGTCACTTCCAGCAGGTCAAAGACTTCCTGGCCAGCATCATCGAGCCCTTTGAAATTGGGCCGGATAAAGTCCAAGTAGGTAGGTTCTGGCCCCATGCCCTGAGGCCCCACCCGGTGGTCCTCACAGTCTCTCCCTGGGTCCCATGCAGGCGTGAAGTGGGCCAGGGGCGAGAGGAGACCTTTTTGCTGACTGGTGTGGCCTGCAGCACCAGGCCAGGTGGGGTCCCCAGCTGTACTGATGGGACAACTGGCTCCTGGGGGGACATTCTGGTAAATCCTGTGTGGAAAGCAAGGGCTTTGCAAGCATGTGCTCTCCCTAGTGACCCCGGGCGGCCAGGCTGTGTGTGTCCTGCCTCCACCCAGCACTCCAGCAGCCATGTCCACACCCGTCTTTTCAGGCCTGACTCAGTACAGTGGAGACCCCCAGACCGAGTGGGAACTGAACACCTTCAGCACCAAGGAAGAGGTGCTGGCAGCCGTGCACAGCCTCCACTACAGAGGGGGAAACACATTCACAGGTCTGCCCCTGCCGCCCTCCCCGCATGCTGCCCTGCGCGCAGCCTCCCTTTACATCCCTCTCAGACTTGCAGGTTTGTGCATAAAACAAGCCCAGTGCCGGGCAGAGCTGGTCCCCACTCTCACCTTTGTAAATGACAAATCACCCTCATTTATTTTTTAAAGTTTTCCTTTTTATTAACTTCAGAGAGAGGAAAGGAGAGGGAGATAGAAACATCTATAATGAGAGGAAATCATCAATGGGCTGCCTCTTGCATGCCCCCTACTGGGGATGGAGCCTGAAACCCAGGCATGTGCCCTGACGGGGAATTGAATCTTGACCTCCTGGTTCATAGGTTGATGCTCAACCACTGAGTTCACCAGCCGGGCTCACCCTCATTTCTTTCTGGTCAAAATGTGGTTTCTGGTGGGTGGTTTTGCTGAAAGTGAGTGGCTCCTCTGGTAGACAGAAGCTTCTGGAAGGGGCCGCCAGTGGGTGTGGGCATGGCCTTGCTGGAAGCAACTCCTTGGGGGTGTCCCCACAGCACAGTCTCCTCCCTGTTCCCCACACTGGGGGCCTCCGTGCCTTTGAGGGTAGGGGAGGAGGTGTCCCTGCCCTGCAGACGCCCCAGCCTGGAGGGTCCAGGACTGACACGGTGGGCAGAGCGTGGGGCCAATGGCTGGAGGAGGTTTGGGCAGGAGGGTGGGAATGGGTGGTGGAGGCCCTACACTCGATCCCCGTTGCTCCCAAGGCCTGGCCCTGACCCATGTGCTGGAGCAGAACCTGAGGCCTGCAGCAGGTCCCCGCCCAGAGGCAGCCAAGGTGGTGATTCTCGTGACGGACGGCAAGTCCCAGGACGATGCCTGTGCTGCTGGCCGCATCCTCAAGAGCCTGGATGTCGACATCTTTGCTGTGGGTGAGCAGCCGGATCTCTGCAGAGTTCTCACAGCCGTGCAGGTGGGAGTTTGCATGCCTGCTCCGCCCCCTCTGGGGCTGGAGGGCCCCTGGCCTCTCAGCCTTAGCCCTGAGTTTGCAAAATGGGAGGACCCATCCCTGCTCTGGGGGCTGTGATGGTGCCCACGGCAGGCTCTGAGCACCGCGGGCACCTGCAGGGAGGCTGCAGTCACGGCAGTGGGGCATGGGCCAGTTTGCATGTCTATAAACATATCCCCGCCCAGCCTCACCTCTGCACCAGCCCCAGCTGCTATCTCTCCCGGGGCCCTGTTAGATGACCCAGTCCTGGGTCCTGTGGAGTCTTGGGTACCAGGATGGCTTCCCAACCCGCTGGGTGACTCCGATTGTAAGCGGTGACAAGGCTCCACGGGGGCCCCTTCCCATTCTCTGGGCCCCGTGGGCAGGTGTGAAGAATGCTGATGAGGCTGAGCTGAGGCTCCTGGCGTCCCCGCCACTGGACATCACCGTCCACCACGTGCAGGACTTCCCCCAGCTCAGCACACTGGCTGGCCTGCTCAGCCGCCTAGTTTGCCAGCAGGTCCAGGGCAGGAGCCCACGTCCCGGCCCAGGTGAGCTGTCAGATGGGGACTCCAGGGCAGGTCACCTATGCTTGAAGCCTGGCCAGGCCCTGCCCTCCCCGGTAAGGACTCCCCAAAACCTCTCCCACCCCTTTCCCCTGGCCCTGCGTGGGTCTGCAGCTCCCACCTGGGGAACACCTGTTCTTCCTAGAAGTGGCCACCAGGGGGAGCAGGAAGAGTCTCTATGCCAGCTGCCTGCTGGGGCGCTGACTATCTGCCCTTCTTCCCTCAGTTAAACCGGCAGCAGCCCCTCCAACCCTGGACCCCCTCTCCGCTCCCACCAGCCTAGTCCTGACCCAGGTGACCTCCTCCAGCGTCCACCTGTCCTGGACTCCAGCCCTGCAGCCGCCACTCAAGTACCTGGTGGTGTGGCGGCCTTCTAGGGGTGGTGCCCCCCAGGAGGTGAATGGCCTTCCTCCTGTCCATGCAAAGTCGGGGCTGGAATGGAGACCCAGGGAGGATGAAATCAATGTGGGGAAAGGGTAGAGTGCAGGTGGCCCTGCCACAGCCCGAGTCCTCAGGCCACTCAGGTGGCCAGTGAGCAGCTGTGGCAGATGTGGCTGCTCCTGCCTCCCGTGACTGCTTGTTGCCCGGGAGCTGCTCTGCTCCAGGAGCCCTGGATGGAGCTGGCAGGAAACCAGGACTGACCCCGCCCTGCCCATGCCCACTCGGCCGGCTCCACCCAGGCTCCTCCTGTTGCAGGTGGAGGTGGATGGGCACAGCACGTCCACGGAGCTGCATGGCCTGGCCTCCGGCACAGAGTACCTGCTGTCCGTGTTCCCCGTGTATGAGGCAGGGGTGGGTGAGGGCCTACGGGGCCTGGTGACCACAGGTGGGTGGGGCAACTGGCTGTTATGGGTTTTAGTCTTAATCCGGGGTGGGGCACCACTCCCAACTTGCCGTGTGACCGAGGCAGAGTCACTGGGCCTCCCTGACCCTCAGTGTCCTCTTCTGAGTACCAGTGATGTCATTTGTGCCATCACCACAACCAGAACAGTACTGTTACTGTTCACATGTTTCTGGAGCCCCCGGCCCCTGCTGGGCCGCAGTGGGGCGCCTGTCCCGCGGCTCCGCACTGGAAGTGCACAGCAGTGGTGTTCTGTGTCCACGGAGTCATGCACTGTCCCCACTGTCAACCTTAGAGCAGAAACCCTGCTCCCTTAGCTCTCCCCCATGCAGCCCCACGCTGCTCCATCTTTGCCATTTCAGGGCACGCAGCGTGTGGCCAGCTGCCTCTGGCTTCCTCATGGGCTGTTTACCCCTTGGGGGCCATGGCTCTCCCACCCCAAACAGCAACCCACGGGTGGCTTTCCCCAGAGCTGTGAGCTGGAAACTTGGCCCAGGGTGAAGTTTGGGGAAGAGACTCAGAGTCGTCGTGGGAGCCCGCAGGGCTATCCTCCAGCCTGTGTCCCTGATCTGTGATGCTTTCTCCTGTGGTGCCCCCTTCCAGTGCCTCTGCCTCCGCCCCAGGCACTCGCCCTGGCCACAGTGACGCCCAGGACCATCCACCTCACCTGGCAGCCCTCGGCGGGGGCCACCCAATACCTGGTGCGGTACTCGCTGGCCTCCCCCAAGGGCGAGGAGGAGGGCAGAGAGGTGCGTGACAGAGGGTGGAGGAGGCAGCTGGGGCCAATGGGGTGGGGAGCGAGGTGAGCAGGGGCTAATGGAAGTGTCCCCCCAGGTGCAGGTTGGGCAGCCGGAGGTGCTGCTGGGTAGCCTGGAGCCGGGCAGGGACTATGACATCTGGGTGCAGAGCCTACAAGGTGCACAGGCCAGTGAGGCCCGGGGCATCCACGCCAGGACCCGTGAGTGCCCACCTCCCCAGTCTGCCACCCACCAGCGGGCAGAGGCCTTCCATGGGGTGAGGTCCCTGTCTGGTGGCCCCACTGGCCTGGCCATCGCCCATGCTTCCCCCATTCACTCGGGGGTGGGGGGGAGTGGCTGCTGGTCCCTGAAGCCTTGCTGTGTCCACAGCTCCCCTGGCTCCCCCCACACCCTTGATCTTCTCAGACGTGAGCCATGACTCGGCCCGTGTGTCCTGGGAGGGCACCCTGAGGCCGGTGCAGCTGTTCAGGGTCAGCTACTTGTCCAGCAAGGGCAGCCACTCGGGGCAGGTGAGAGCAGGCTGATGTCCTGTGGGGGAACTGGCGTCCAGGGTGCTGAAGCGTCCACGGGGCCCAGCCCCCCAGCTGCCCGCCCTGTATTCACAGAGCACTGACACCGTCCCTGCCCTTGGGGTCCCCAATCTGGCAGGGGTTGGGGGGACATGTGTGAAGCAAAGAATGACGGTGAATGACAGCCCCGATGAGGCTTGGGGCACGGAGTGCTGTCAGGGGTGAAATCCAGCTGTTGGGCTGTTTGGGGGATGGGGAAGCCCCAGGAGGCCCTGCCATCGTGTGGGAGACCTGCGTTCCCCTTCCCCACTCGGGGCGAGGCCATGGCTGTCCTGGGCAGTGGGCCGGGGCCTGGTCTCCATCTAGGCAGGGGATGCCTGCTCCCAGAGTGAAGGGTCAGCTCCAGGCCCCGCTCGTATGGCCCCCACCTCGCAGATAGAGGCTCCTGGCAATGCCACCTCGGTCACCCTGGGCCCCCTCTCCTCCTCCACTACCTACACTGTCCGCATCACCCGCCTCTACCCTGGGGGTGGCTCCTCCACCACGACCGGCCGCCTGACCACACGTGAGTCCTCCGGAGCCGCTGATGTGCAGTCGGGGCCCAGCCAGAGGAGGATGGGAATGTGGGCACAGCCCCCACATGGAAAATGGGGGTCCCCTCGGCCCCCAGGTGTGACTCGAGCCAGCAAAACCTCTTTAACAGGCAGTGAGGCCCTTCTGATGAGTCACCCCAGGGGGTGGCGCAGGCCCTGCCGTCCAGCCTGTCTCCCTGCCCTCTTCCAGGGAAAGTCCCCGGCCCGAGCCAGCTGTCCGTGACAGAGCTCCCTGGGGATGCGGTCCGGCTGGCGTGGGCGGCCGCAGCGGCGTCCGGGGTGCTGGCCTACCAGATCAAGTGGACGCCTCTGGGGGACGGGAAGGCCCATGAGGTATGTGAGAGAGAAGACCCCTGCCCATCCCCAGCTCCTAGGCTTCCACCCAGTGTGGCATCTCGGGACCTGCCTGCCCAGCCCAGCCAGGCCCCGTGGGAGCCACCACTCGCAGAGTGGACACCTGCCCCTCCTCTCCACAGATCTCCGTCCCGGGGAGCCTGTGCACGGCCGTCCTGCCCGGCCTGGGGGGGCCCTTGGAGCACGAGATCACCATCCTGGCCTCCTACAGGGATGGGGCCCACAGCGACCCCGTGTCCTTCCACTACAGCCCCCGAGGTGACCCCTCAGCTACAGGGGGCAGCGCCGCCCCAGGGCCCCAGACCACCTCAGCCCCACACTCCCAGGGGCACCCACAGGCAGTTCCCCAAGGCCCCGGCCTTCCAGGCAGGTGTCCCAGGGTGGCCGAGGGTCCGAGTCACCTGGTGGGCACAGTGCTCACGGTGGTCTCAGAGCTGACCGGGGGCCTGTCTGCCCGAGGTCGCAGGGCTGCAGGTGTG